CGCGCCGAGGAAGCCGCCGCGACTGAGCGCGCTCTGACTGCGGCTCAGGCGCTTCGTGCCCGGCACAATGACACCCGCGCTGCGCGCAGCCGATTGGCTGCGGCCGGCCGCGCGGGCCAATCACCAACGGACTGGGGGCGCCGGCAGCGCGGAAAACCCGGAGGGCGGGCTCTGTAGGAGCGGGCCAGCTGCTGGGCGGGCGCGGCGGGGCTTAGTGCGCTGCAAAGCTCCGGGGAGGTAGGCGCCGACTGCAAGCTGAGGCGCAGCACAAGTCCCTCAGGGCCTCTCTCCACCCCAACACCCCTCTGTTTTTCTGCACAAGGTGCCTGTGAGTTTGAAGGCAGGGCCGGGGGGGGCAATACCCGCGTGCCCCATTTATTTCCCCTCAGCAAACGGACTCCTGCAGCCAAGCGCTCCGCTCTTCGCCGCTGGCTTCTCCCGAGGAAGACTCGGGGGAGAGATACATACTTTTAAAAAAAACAACAAAGTGAAACTTTTCCCCACTGATCTACACCATGACATCTCCTTGGTGGTCGGGGGCGGGTGCTCGACACCCGCAGCGGGTCGGGCAGGCGCGCGCCGCGGCCCCGCCGCCGCCTCTGCCTTTGCACATGGCGCTTGGCACGCTCTAAAACAACCACCCCCGTCTTGGCTTTGAGGTCGATTGAAGTTCCCTACGTTTCCTGGAGGAAGTTGCAGAACGACCCCGAGATTGAGAATGTGACAGCTGGAGAGGAAGCCGTGCATCCAGGCTGCTTGGGCTCCCAGACTGAGAGAACATGACTTGAGCTCGGGTCCCACCCCCTGCTCCAAGCAGGGCCACCCCCAACTACATCCTCGAGCCAAGGATGCAGACCCCACCCTGGCATGTCTACATGTGCATTAATGCGCCATAATTAGTAACTACGGCACATTAAGTTTAGTATCTCTAATAACAGGTACCAACTTAATGTGCTGTAATTGGTGCTGCTGTGCACATCTTTTAAGCAATGCTAACGCACAGTAGAATTAGTCTACTGCACTTCTAGTTTATCGTGTAGATGCAGTCCCGGGCCTTGAAAACCTTCAAGGACACAGATTCTGAGATCAGACAAGGCTATTTACTCAGGCAGAGACCATCCCAGTAGGGTGCAGGACCCTGGACAAATCAGCCTGTGTGGGGCCTGGACACGAAGAGGCCAGAGAGCGGGGGGTGGCGAGAAGCTAGACACGAAGCCAGCGGTGGCGCAGTCACCAGCACTAAGCAGGCCCTGTAGGAGGGGCTGCAGCAGCTCTGCCCAGCTCCATGGGCCCCCCCCCAAAGTGCCAGACCTGGGGCAGTCACCCCATCTCCTGGATTTGCCCCCCATCTCCTGGAGGGATGGCCCTGCGCTCAGAAGACATATATTTAAAGACATTTTTTCTGACTATATACCTAACAACCCTTTCAATAATGTTTTAAAATCTACCTTAGTTTTGAGCCATCATTTTGTTTGCTTGCTCTTCACACAGCCCCAGCAACACAAATCAAGATGTCAGTTTAAATTTTGCTTGTAGTCAGTTTTCTGTTCAGGTTCTTGCAAGGCTGCAGGGGAAAAGTTTAAATCCAAATTTAAAATTTTTTTATTGATGTAAAGGAAAAATTCTGAAGGCATTTAGTCATTATTAGAGATGCATGAAACCTAAACTAGGAATCTTATCTGTAGTGTCTCGTTATAGACTCTTTTATTCAGGGGATTATTTGTGGTTTAGAAATGGTTACATTTCTTTTTGCCTTTCTAGCCACAATTCTTTTCCAGTGTTAAGGAAGCGTGTGATCATCTGAAAATAATCTTAACATATTAGAAAACATTCAAATGGAACATCTCATATAGAAGTTATTCTAAAACTAGGTATTAGCCATTATAGTTGGTGTCCAGCTTTGCACAAACTGAAACTTTTCATTTGGGAGTTTAGACCTCCATGTGTTGAGTGTTTCAAGATACAGAATCATCATTGTACTGGTCATGTGAACAGGCCCTTCTAAGGTTTATTTAACTCTGATACCAAATATTTTTCTTCTAGATTAAAATTTCAGAAAAAAACTAACAAATGCGTCTGCTTTTTCAGGTGGAAGCTCACAAGAGCTGGTTTCCTACACATTTTTTTTCAGCAGAATATCAACAATTCTAGAATTTAAAATATACATATGCTATTTTATAGAATAATGTAAAAGATGAAGAAATGAAACAGAAATCCAAGGTAAAAAACAAAAAAGGAAGGGATAAAAAAGATGGACGAAGGGCTGATCAAAACTGTTCTGCACTGTTTGTTCCTCTTCTACTATGTATCCCTTGTGCTATGTTCCTTCATGCCAATTATTCAAGCATTTCCACAGTGCTTATCACTGTAATATCTAGGCACATTCAGAATGTGCTGCAGCATTACATGACTTCCTTCATTTACTTCTTCCCACTTTGAGCCCTGATAATATAGGAAATAAGATTGCTGGCTTTTAAATAGCAACCCTTGTTTATGGTGTTTACAGTCATATATTAACAGATCAGAATCTGGGATGAACTGTTGGGCTATCCTGCTCTTAAAGATTTTATGGCTAATGCACCCTTTTAAGTTGTATATCTCTTTATCTGGCACTCAGTTACAAATGCCTCTCATTAAGCTATAAACCTTTAGCTTCTATTTAACCTTATGGGTAGCCTGGAAGACTGCTAAAATGTGATTTAAAATGTGGCTAGAATATGGCCTCACCTGTAATGTTAAATTGGTAGAATAGATTGTGCAGTATTACAATACATCATAGTTATATAAGAAATTGTACTCTCGGCCTTTTAAAATCTGCAGAGAGATTGCATACTCCCCCAGCTCCCCTTTTAACAACCGGGAAATCTTCTTCCTGCACCCACAGGAATCTGCAGGTGTGGAGGGGAAACACAGGAGCTGGGCATGTCTCCTCACATCCCAGTAAAATGAAAAAATGTAATTCATGAGTGAAAGCACTTGGGAATGGGTGGCATACATTCCCTCCAAATTTTTAATACCCCCAACTTGTCTGTAGAGCTGTTGCATTCTCAGTACAGATCCTCCCGTTGTTTTTCATGTCTTTGCCCTTCTATCAGTGATGATGGACATTTTTACCATGTTCTTCTGCTTTTCAGCTAGCCGGAGAAGGTGTGAAGGAGTCTAAAGGCTAGCTGCATATAAGGGAGTCCTTACCAGTCAGAAAGATCTTTATTTCTAGGTATAATGAAAAAACTAGTTTTTCTTCAGTATTTACAAAAGAAAAAATATAATACAGACAAACGAGCAGACCTATACAAGCTAGTTTCTATTTTGTTATCCTTGCTTAGCCTTTATGGAATTCTAAGTGCATAGGAACAACTATTATGTAAAAAATATACTGTATATATAAGTAAACATATAATTACACGAAGGAATAGTGTTGTCAGTTTCCATGAATTTATCAAGTTTATAATTTATAAGGAATATGATTTTGGCCTCTGCTGCAAACACTCTTGAAAAAACATGATAAACAACTCTGACAGGTGATTTTCATGGTAGGGAAATTACACACACACACGTACACACACACACACACACACACACAGAGCCTGGGACAGCTTGTTCTGTGCTGAAAGCTAGGAGATCATTTCTAGTCCCAGCTCTTCCAATGGGTACTGTTAATATTTTTTGCCCTTACTGTTTACCAAAGCCTCATATCTCAAGTGATATAACTATCATTCACTCACTTTACAGAAAAATGAGAATTCGTATAAGGTCACTTTGGCCAGAAGTAGGAATAGAGTCCCTGTATGTAATAAAATGGGCAACTCTAATCCACTTTATCAGGCTGCCTAATAGAAGGGACATGCCAAACTTTGTATCCTACCACAGGGTGGCTTTTGATCACCTTTTAGTGGGTAAATCCTAGTTTGAGATTTATGGCTAGTATTCTAGACATTCCAACAAAAATAACTCTTTAGCTCAAATGTCAAAAACTGATGCTGTAATCTCTAGAGGTCCTTAGATTCAATCCCCACAGATGACACAAAGACTTTGCGGCATTTCGCTATATTGTCTCTAACCACTAGATTATACACTGCTTCTAGGCCCAAGAAGAAAAAAAATGGGAATCCTGATGCCTGATATCTCACAACTCTTTCACAAATAGCTGTGTAACTCACACCAAATAGATGTATAACTAGAGTTAACTCATCTACTCATGACTAATCAACATAAACGGCATGCTTTCTATTAAACAGTTCTAGCTGAAAAGAGCTGGGGGAAAAGAGCTGTTGTGGAACTAAAAATTGTGGGTTCATGCTGCTATTGATTCTTGGTGGTAAGATCGTCTTGATTTTTGAATTTCTGCCGTTAGAAATACTGAGGACCAGAGGAAACGGTAGGCAGCTGTAGAAGCAAAAGTCATCCACCAATCATCTAGAGCCCACATAGATCTTGAGAGATTCACAGATTTTTGAGTGGAACATATAAATTTCAGCAGGTCATGCAATCCCCCCAGACACAAAATCCTCTGACTCTGGAGATGTTGAAGGCAACTCTGAAAAGAAACAACCACTTTTTGTTTTCTCCTGGACTCATGTTTCCACATGACACCATACCTCATAGTGGTTACACAATGCAATTGGCTCCCATCTTGCTAGTACTGTCTTGCTCTACTAAAGGTGGAAGCCACAATGGGAAGTTAATGCTGATTAAAAAAACCCACTGAAATCTTCTGGATAATCAGTGGAGCATGACACCAAATATTACTGTTCTTTGGAAGATGTGCTCATAAAACTATTCTGATTATCCATC